TTCAGAAAAAAAAAAAAAAAAAAATAGCTACAGTTTAACGGGTACCAGATTGGAAAGACTCCTAATCTAGACCTCACCTAGTGCTTTTAACAGAGAGAATTAAAACACTTTGCCTTTTAAAGGGCATTTAAGCCAAAATATGTAATATTCTTAAAGAAGATAGCTGATCTTTTGAGTTTTGATCTTAAAAAACCAGAAACTACATTAAAATATGTGAATCTTTCTCTGAAGTTTGTAGTGGTAATTCTCTTACATAAAAGAATTATTTGGGATCATTACTATTTCGTTATTGAGCTTTGTTTGGAATAATTATTTAAATGAATAACTATAAACAGTTTTTTTTTAATTAAGGACAATTGAAATGGTACTTTTCGAATAGAAATTATAGGGATGCCTGGCTGGCTCAGTCAGTTAAGCGTCTGGCTCTTGCTTTTGGTTCAGGTCATGATCTCAGGGTCTTGAGATTGAGCCCCAAGTTGGCCTCTGTCCTGGGCATGGAGTCTGCATAGGATTCTCTCTCCCTCTCTTTCTCTGCCCCCCCTCAAAAAAAATAAATAGAAGTTTTGTTTAATTGAAAGACTTGGCAAAAAAAGGAGGGGGAGAGTGTTTTGGCACCAAAGATATTTTTGGCATTTGTACAAGGATGTTTCTCATCAAAGGATGAGTGGCATCATCAGGCCTCCCTGAGATCTTTTGTTTTAGTGTCACTGAAGAATCATTTGAGATGTCCTGGGGGTTAAAAATATGGTGAATGCATATCATTTAAAAGATAGAGACTGTCAGACTGGATAAAAACAAGTTACAACTGTAACTACAAGAAACTGTACCATGCAAATACTAACCAAAAGTGATCATAATAATATTAAAAATGTAGACTTTAAACAAGGAATATTGCCAGGGATGAAGAAAGACATTATATAGTGATAAAAGGTCAATTCACTTAGAAGCCATAGGAATCCTAAATAGTGCCCATAACAAGAGAAGGGCAAAGTGTACCCAAAGCAAATACTCAATCAGGTGCAAGGAAAAATAGACAAGTCCCCTGTCATGGTTGGAAATTTCAACACTCCTCTCAGTGATCTACAGAAACTCATGAAAATATAGAAGACCTGAACAACACTACCACTCAGTTTGACCTAGTGGATATTGCTGTAACAGTCTACCTAGTAACAGCAGAATACGTATTATTTTCAAGTGTATGTGAGATGTTCACCATGATAAACCATATTTGGGCCATAAAATAGACACTAATAAATTTAAAATAATTGATGTCTTTTAAGATTGTTCTCCTCATAAAGAAATGAAACTAGAAATTGGTAACAGATATGTAGAAAATCCCCAAATAATTGGAAGTTAAACTGTATATTTCTAAATAAACCACAGGTCAAAAAAAAATCACAGGAGGGGTGTCTGGGTGGCTCAGTCGTTAAGCTTTTGCCTTCAGCTTGGGGCATGATCCCAGAGTCCTGGGATTGAGCCCTGCATCGGGCTCCCTGCTCCATGGGAAGCCTGCTTCTCCCTCTCCCACTCCCCCTGCTTGTGTTCCCTCTCTCGCTGTCTCTGTCAAATAAATAAATAAAATCTTTAAAAATCACAGGATTTATCCCCTTTTGATTTGAATGAAATATTCTGCATTCACTCAATTTTAAATTAAATGAAAACGAAAACACAAGATAACAAATTGTGTGGAATGCAGCCAAAGCAGCGCTTAGGGAGATATTTATAGCATTAACTACTTAGAAAAGAAGACAGGTTTCAGATCAATTGTTATTAAATTTCCACCTTAAGAAAGTAGGAAAAAAGAGCAAATTAGGCCAAAAGCAAGCAGAGGGAAGAAAATTATAGTCAGGAAAGAAATAGGAAGAACAGTGAAATCAAAAGCTGATTCTTGAAAAGATCAATAGAATAGATATACTTCTGGCCGGACGAAGTTAAGTGGAGAAAAGAGACATATTACCAATAATAGGGATAAGAGGGGAGATTGCTATATTCAATAAAAGGGTGATAGGGAATATTACGACAACTTTATGCCCATTCACTTAACAACTTAGATGAAGTGGAAAGATTCCTTAAAAGATGCAAATTATCAAAGCTCATTCAAGAAGAAATAATCAGAATAACCCTATAGTAATTGAAGACATTGCATTCATAGTTGAAAACCTTCCAATACAGAGAACTCCTCTCCCTCCCCACCAGGTGGCTTCGCTGGAGAATTCTGCCAAACATTTAAGGAATGTGTAATACCAAGTCTACGCAGACTTGTTCTGAAAGTAGAAGAGGAGGGAATACTCCCAACTCATGAGAAACAGTATTGCTGCAACATCAATACCATTAAAAGGAAACAAAACTACAGATCAATATTCCTCATGAATATAGATGTGAGAAATCCTTAACAAAATATTAAGTCATTCTTAGCTAAATTTTTTAAAAAACTGATTTTGAGTATAATACCAAGTACGAAAACCTTAACAATCTGAACACAACCATAATTTTCATTCACATGAATCAGAAGCTAGGACAGATCATCAGTAACTAACTCTGTGATATTGTAAATTCACTTAAGACCTATTTCTGCTTGTCATCTAGTACGCGAGAGAAGTCTACTGCAAGTCTTATTACCTTATAAAGAGGTATTTGGAATTGACACTCTCTTCAGATGCTCTTCCTGGATAGGATAAATCTGCCCTTCTTCAGGGCTTATGTATCCCCGTGCTTGCATCTGATAGAGTTATTCTTATTTATTAGAAGTGGTTCTGGCAACAGTTAAGATTTCTATCCTCCGAATTTGAGAAGTCTGAGAGGTTAGCTGTGGACACTGAAGAAGTGGTCACCCCAGGGACCAGACCCTGAGATATGCAGCCTACTCCACTTATTTATTACTTGTGTATTTTGAGGCCAAGCACACACTTTAGAGGTCAGCTTGAGATTTATCTGGGCCTCATGTCTTAGGATCTGTGATAAACAAGATGTTCATTTTAGGGATGGCTGATTTCTCTGGAGTTTTCTCAGATCCTTGTTTTTAAGAAGGCGATGCATTCTGTCTTAATCAAAACTCTTGTAAGTCATCACGGACTGCATATTGTTTAGAGGTGGTAGATTCCATGGTGGTCACATAGCAAGAAGGCCTTGGGGTCACAAACCCCTTGACCCCCAAACTAACACAACCTAGCCTCTGCCCCTTATTGGGTATTTTCATAGGTTTTGAGTCTGGAGGAACCTGACCTGCCCAGTTGCCTAGAGGAGACCAGAGAGTCTGCAACACAGGGAGGGAGGGGGCTAGGGCTGCATGACCAAGGGCTTGACGGGTCATGCAGAGGATTTTGGATTTCATTCGAAGTGCAGGGGTAGCCATTGAAGGGTTTAAATGGGAGCAGTGATGTCATCAGGTGGTCATTTTCACCCAACCCTTCTGGCCTTGATGTGGAGAGTAGATGAGAAGAGGGCAAGATGTCTATAGGGAGGCCTTTGGGGGAAGCTACCACCATGCAAAAGCTGAGCCCCACCTCCCCTACAGCCTTTTAAATTGAAGGTGGGAGCCTGTTCCCTTTCAGAGTTACTCTGCAAGTGGGCATATTCTTCTCATGACCAGACTTCTGCCAACTCTTACAGAACTGTGTGTTCCATGCCCTTCCGCTCAAGTCCGTGACACAAGCAGAGAATGTGGGTCTGCACATTGCCCCCCATATGCTGGAATTGAAGCTCAGAGAGGCTGGCCTCCAGCATGATACTGCTTTTGACTGCTTTATTCTTTAACATTGTAATTTGGCATCACCCTGCATCATATCAGTGTTTGATTTAACACAAAAACTGTCTTCCTCTAAATCTATTGTTGTATGTTCTTATTTTATAGACAGGGGATCCAAGATGTAGAAAGGTAAACTACTTTGTTCAAGGTCATATAGTAAGTGGTGACACCATCTTTGAAATGTAGGCTTTTTGACTGCTTGTTCTTTGCACTTATTAAGTCCACTCTTCACTACCGACTGCAAAGAACAGTTCCTGGAAGGTGCTCAGGAAATACATGCTTGGTGATTTTTATTGGGTCAGTCTGGTACCTGATATTAGGAACCTAACCTGACCCCTGAGTCACCTGAGTCAGGGCCAAGCTTGAGTTGTGTGAAGCTGAGCAGAGTCCATGCTCCCAGGCATTCTACATACACTGGAAAAACTGGTTTCTCCTTTCCTCGTGTGTGCCCTCAGCACTTTGTAGCTCTACTCCAGTGGCTAACTAGTACTTTTGGCATATTCATTTGTCTCCCTGCCACATTGTGACCTCTGGAGGATGGGTCCTAGGTCAAGGTCACCTCCTTATTCACTAGGCCTGGCCTAACTGGTACATATTAAATGTGACTAACAGAACACTGGGGATTATAGGAGTTGGCCTGAGTCTTGAGCTAGAGAAGACCGACACAGGGCTCCTCCATCTGCCTTGCTCAGGTCCAGACCCATCCTTGAACATGAGTAAGAGCCCAGGTAGACCCAGAGCTAAGGCTGTTTAGAGGGCCATCCCCAGGGAATCCAGTCCTTAAAGCCACTGTATTGCCCTTGGGTCTCTCAAGGTGATTGTTAGATCCCAGGGAAAAGGAGGTGCCTCAAAGGTGAGCCCAGCTGCAGAAAGCATGGTCTTGCAGGGGCTGTGAGGCAAGGAAGGAGGGAGGTGGGAGGATGCCTTCCATCTTGGCTGTGTTCATTTCCTGGATATAGCCAGTTATTAAGTGCAATGGTCTACAAACTGCTGGGAATTGAAGTCTGGAGAGAGGGTGGGTGGGGGCTGAGGGTGCACGTGGGGCCTTGTCCTCCACAACTCTCTCAGCCCCTCTTCCAGCCACCTGTAGTGGCCCTGACTGTTGTCTGCACTGTCCAGCATGGGGGCTGTATCTTCCATCGATTCAGTCTCCTCCCCCCTCCAGTGGAAATTCTGTTCATGTTCACATCCTGTGTTTTTACCATTCATTGAGTCCGTTTAATTAATTCTATATATGTCATGTTCTTTATTTCAGAAAAACTGTACAACTCCAGTGGGCGAGATTTGAGAAGGGCGCTTTTCTCCCTGAAGCAGATATTTCAGGTAAAAAAAAAAAAGAACAACAACAACATGCTCTCCAGTCCTGTTTTTGCATTGCTTATGGAATTAGATACCGACCCGTTTCTACCGCTTACTGATGACAGAAAGAAAGTTTCCTTGGATTAAAATGTCAGCGAGGTCAAAATCTCAGTTGAGAATATTTTTACCATATCAAATATTTCAAACATTAAGAAGGAACGACAACTCTATCAAATCACCTTTTTCCATATTTACCTCAGATTTTTAAAAAGGAAAACCTACTACAGATATAATTGAGGTCTTGTTTTCTCCCTCATTCCAACCGTTCTCCTCCTGCCCCAGGTCCCCTCTCTATGGATGGTCATGGGCATGCGCGTTTCTCTGCCAGCGGTGAAGAGCCTCCAACAGTATCTGTGTTCTTTTCTGCTAACTCCACAAATGTTCTGCTGCATGGGTCGTACTCCAGCTTATTTACTGAAAGTGGGCTCGATGTAGGCGTGACTGGCCGGTGGAGCTCTGAGTGTGCTCGTGTATGAATATGGCGCAAGTTGCCTTGTTCATTCTTCTCTTGGCAGGCAGTTTGGTTTATCCACAGTGTTGGCTGTTTTGTCAACCAGGCTGCTAAGGACATGTTCCTTATGCATATGTTTATGTCCCTCTTTCAGGGTCCGTTTTATCCTTTTCTCCTAAGCCCTCCCTCTTTCCCTGCCCTGAGGAAGTCACGTGCTTAGGATGGGAGTGCTGACAAGCTCCAAGCCTCTCACTCACGCGAGACTGTAGAGGGGAGAGAGAGCGAGCGAGAGCGAGCCAGAGCCAGGGGAGGAGGAAGAGGTTGCTGTCTGGGCAGAGTCAGGATGGCATTTGGCAAGAACTGGTGTCTCTATAGGTTCGTTGTTCCTTCTCTAATGATTTTGGACCCCAGGGTATGTTCCACTTCTCTTCAGTTCCTGTCTTAGCCACATTCTTAACAAATTTTCCTTGTCAGTGATAGGTCTGCCAGAGTGGCTGTCCCCCTTGTGGATGTCTTCCCAGGAGGGGACTGGCAAGAAGACAGGCCAACAGTCCATCCCATCTGCACATTCTTATCCCACTGGTCCTTAAACATGTTCAACCATGTCCTTACTTCCTCCCTGTGCAGAGTCTCTTCTCAGGGTCAGCACTTCTGGACACGAGTCCTCTTGGCTCTCCTGATGGTTATGGTTGTGAACCTACCGTGTCATCGCCCCCTCACGCTGCACATCTCAGAGATGCCTTGGGGTTGGGGTCTGCTTTGGTTCAGGCTGTTTATTCTGGAAAAATTGCAACAGCTGTCCTTGGGCACTGCCTGCTCTTGGTTCTCTCCATCTGTCTATTCTTTAACTTCTACCAGAGGGGCTTGAGGAAATGGTTCTCTTGCTGGTTCCATATAGCCTTCTGGATTACATCTGAATTTCTCAGTATAACATGGAAGCCCTGTGGATCTGGACTTTGCTGCCCACTTCTTTGCCCTTGGCTGCATCCTAAATTCTACTCATGGTTGCATTCTGGGAGCAAGCCACACTCTTTTCTGCACTTTGCCCCTGGACCTGTTGCTCCTCTGCCAGAATGTGTTGCCACCCCTCACCCACTCTCTGTGTCTCTGTTTGTCTCCCGGTGTCCCCTCCTGCCAGGGTCCCTCTCCCTAAGTGACTCTTCTCAGTCCCTTCAAATACCTCTGAAGTTCTTTGTGCTTCTCTCTAGTATAGAACTTAAGGTACAACGGGGCATTCGTCTGAGTCTAGCTGTATGCAAGCTCCCTGGATTTCATCGCTGGGTCTTTGGGGCCTAGCATATGTCTGGGGCTGCGTAAGCAACGGGTGAGTGGACTAGGTGAATTGGGTGGTCTTCTAGAAGATGCCTCTGTCTTCAGTCTTTCCTGTTTCTAAGTTAGTAGTTTCCATCTGTGTTTCCCTGTTCCTTAGCTGAACAAAATAAAACTTGTTTACACTCAATTACATCCTTCTTTTTAACTCGGACCCCCAGCTGCCCTTGGGCTGGGCTCTCCCTGTGCCACCAGAGGGCCATGCACCTGCCACTCCTCGCCCTAACCCAGAGTCCCCCAGCCTACTGTTTCTGTTCAGCTTTGACTTCTTTCAAAACCTGTGTTCACCTCATTGAGTGTCTAGCTGGTGACCAAACTGAACAGGAAAGAGTTAGTTATTCTAAGTGACTTTAAAACATTGTGATTTGTGTATTTTGAGTAAATCTACTCTAAGAACAAGAAGAAACCACACAATCAACTGTTTATAATAATCCTGTTGCTGCTGGTGGTGTTGTGTTGCTATTCTGCGACTGGTATGTGTGTGTGTTCTTTGTCATTCTCGGAGTTCTTAAGGATTAGGATTCTTGGCGTGTGGGAGAAAGAAGATAGAAAGGTAGAAGAAGGGCACCTGGGTGGCTCAGTAGGTTAAGCATCTGCCTTCGGTTCAGGTCATGATCCCAGGGTCCTGAGATTGAGCCCTTTGTTGGGCTCCCAGCTCAGAGGGGAGCCTACTTCTCCCTCTCTCTGCTGATCCCCCTTCTTCTCTCTTGCTCTCTCTTTCTATCAAAATAAAATAAAATAAATACCTTAAAGGTAGAAGAGGTTAAGTTAAAAACTCTGTATTCCTCTATTTATTTGTTAAAAAGATTTTATTTGAGAGAGAATGTGTGAAATCACATGGTATTTTTCTTTCTCTGACTTATTTCACTTAGAATTGTTTCCTCTAGGTCTATCCATGTTGCCCCAAATGGCAAGATCTCATTCTTTTTTATGGCTGAGTAGTATTCCACTGTGTGTGTGAGTGAGAGAGAGAGAGAGAGAGAGAGAGTGTGTGTGTGTGTGTACGTACACACTGCATCTTTTTTATTCATTCATCAATGGATGGACACATGGGTTGCTTCCATATCTTGGCTATTGTAAATAATGCCTCAATAAATATAGGAGTGTATATATCTTTTTGAATTAGTGTTTTCCTTTTCTTTGGGTAAATATCCCATAGTGGAATTACTGGATCATATGGTAATTCTATTTTTAATTTTTGGAGGAACCTCCATACTGTTTTTCACAGTGGCTGTACCAATTCGCATTCCTGCTCATGAGGGTTCCTTTTTTTCCACATCCTCATTGGCCCTTGTTATTTTTTATGTTTTTGGGTTTAGCCAGTCTGACAGGTGCAAGGTGCTAACTCATTATAGTTTTAATTTGCATTTCCCTGATGATGAGGTATGTTGAGCATCTTTTCATGTGTCTGTTGGCCATCTGGATGTCTCCTTTGGAAAAATGTCTATTTAGGTCCTCTGCTCTGAATTGGATTATTTGTTTTTTGGTGTTGAGTTGTATAAGTTCTTTATATATTCTGGATATTAAACCCTTATTGGATATATCATTTGCAAATATCTTCTCCAGTTAGTAGGTTGCCTTTTTGCTTTGTTGATGGTTTTCTTCACTGTGCAAAAGCTTTTTATTTTGGTGTAGCTGTAATAGTTTACTTTTGCTTTTCTTTCCCTTGCCTTAGGAGATGTCTAGAGAAATGTTTCTAGGGCTGGTGTCAAAAATATTACTGCCTATGTTTTCTTCTAGGAGTTTTACAATCACACCAAAAATAATAGATTTTCCATGTGAACTTTAGGATAATCAAACAGTAGTTGAGGGGAAGTATTGTTTGTAATAATCTTCTAGCTTATAAGTAAGGAGGAGTAATAGAATTAAAGTATCAGAATTTTGCAACCCTAAGTGAATGGATCTAGGCATTGAGCATCAAGACCTGCTGACATGGTGGAAATGAGATACAGCCAGATTGTATGTGGCTTCTCATGGGAATTCACATTATCATTGATGTGCTCAAGCCGACAAAATCAACTCTGGATCTCATCATGCCTCCATATACAGTAACCAATTTATAAATGATCATGGACAGAGGCATATGTTAATCTACATCACACTGGTGCAGTCAACAAAATCCAGACTACTGGGCTACTTTTCCAGACAAATGACCTAGTTTCTTTAACATATAAATTTCAAGGGGAAAAAAGGTTAATTAAAAGACTTTTAAATCCACATGTGGATCTTATTTGGATCCTGGTACAAAATGTAAAAAACAAAACAAAAACACAAACACACAAAAACACAAAACAGTATTTATGAAACAGTTGGAATTTTGGTCACTGACTGGACATTTAATAATAAAGTATTAGTTTTTTATTATGAGTACATAGTTTTAAAAAGAGCTGCATTTTGGAGATGCATATTGGAGTATTTATGGATTAAATGATGTGATGTCTGGGATTTGCTTCAAATTAATATGGCAGCAGACAATATGGGGTGATAGAAGAAACAGAATTGGTATGAATGGATTGGCACCTGGGGTTCACTAAATTGTTCTGTCTTCTTTTGTGTATGGTTAAAATTTTCCATGGTGAAAAAATTAAAAAAAAAAACAAAATAAATATGTCTGGGGTCTTTGTTGCACGTTCCTTTACCGAGTTTGTTCTGTAGTGTTAACTCTGAATTCTCAGGGATGTTGTTTCTACCGTTTATTCATCAGATATTTTTGAGCCGCCTTTGCTGACATTATGTAGGCAAGGAGGAAGGTGCTTGCTACCTGCAGTGTGTAATCTGTTTGGAAGACCACACACGTGGGCACAGAACAGCTCAAACCAGGGCAGGCATCATTGGGTAGTGAATGGATTACACAGGCTGCAAGCTGTCTCGGGCTTAGATCGCCTTCTCCCACACCCACAGTCTGCGTTTCCATCATCTTGTGTTTTCTACATGCAGGGGTTCTTTCTGGAACTTAGAGTATAAAGGGTGTAAAATACAAAGTGCTTGGTCTTTTGCATGAATATTCCTTGACTAATAGGCATTAAAAAAAATGCAGGTTAAAGTATGGTTAGTGTAGAAAATTCTGAAATGCAGGGATCGTTTCTTATCAGTTGGTGTTAACATTTTGATTTCATTCTAGTGGGAAGTCAAAGTTTTAAAAAATCATTTATTAATGCCTAAGTATTTCAGGATACGTGTTCAAAATCTCAGGCATTGCCAATTTGGAGGACATTCTCCACAATTTATTTTCCACAAATGTCTATTACTTAAGTGCTTATCTACATATGTACATAAATTTTAGTTAGGGTTCTAAATTTTTATAAACACTGTCTCCCCTGTCCGTGTTTTTTCTGAGTACCTTTGCCAGGCAGCCAACTCTCTGCTGTATTAATATTAGTGATTAGCTTGAGTGGTTTCTTGAGAGCTTGTTCTCACTTTTTCACCATGAAGTCATGTGTGAATCTAGTTTTAGTTAAAGTAATAAACATTTGTTACATGCTTGGAAAAACTTTCTGACTAGACATGAGCTCATCTAAATGTTCACTTTTCACATATGCTGGTGGAAAAGGATATGGATGGAGGGAGAATTATTTTTATTTCCTTTATACATATGAGTGTAAAGTAATTTTCCAAAAACTCATGATATTGTCCCATTTTCTCTTGCTTCCAAAGCCATGATTATCTTAAAGTCTGAGTTAACACAGCTGTCTTTCATTACCTTCAGGGCACAAGCATCACTCCCCCTCTCCCCCCGGTGCCCTCTGAACGTTGAGAGTGTTTTCTGGGTTCAAAGGGAGCCTTCGCCTGGCCTGCCCACATTTAGCTCAAGTCCTCCATCCATATAATTGGAAAATGCCATAAAATCAAAATGAGGGGCTGATTTCACAGAGGGACAGGAGAATTATGCCCGTTTGTCTAAATTATTTTTTTCTTTTTTAGAGATAAACTATGGTTGCTGACGATTCCTATAATAAAAACCCTTCATTATTCCATTAAGCTTTCTACTATTTATATCACTGAGGTTTTTTTTTTTTTTAAATTTTGGCTCTGTTGTTATAATTGAATATGAATGTTCTAGTCTTAGGCTAGCTGCATTTGAGACCAGGCACTGTCCAATTGAGGAAATCTGGAATAGTAGTGGAAAAATCCCTCTCATAGAGCTCTGTAGAACTTGGTACTACAGAAAATGATGGGGCTGGCTGGACATAGGTGATCTCAGCCAAAGTTTTGCATCTTTATCTGTAAAGAGAAGGTAGGCTTATGTCAATGGTCCTTGAACTGGCTGCCCTTTAGGATTTCCTGGGGAATTTAATAACAGAGCTAGGGCCCACCCCTAATAATTCTGATTAATCCATCTGGGTAAGGTCCTGCTTCCTACTACTCCTTTTTAAAGCTCGCCAGATAATCCTAATGTGAAGGAGTCAGGGGTGAGCATCATCTGAGCACCTCCAAGTCACCTGGAGGGTGTGTTAAGTGCACAACGCTGACCCTCACCGTAGAGTTTTCTAGGTAGTCAGTTGGGGTATTTGTATTTCTGACAAGTGCCCAGGCAATGCTCATGCCACCTGCGAGTCTGGACACCCCTCTTTGAGAACCACCAAATTAGATGGTCCCTGAGATTTCTTCCACATCCTGCCTTCTGGGACCTAAGTCTGCTGGCCTGCTGGAGTGGCCCCTTTGTGGGGTCATGTGGCTGCCCCTGACGCACGGCTGGTTGTGTGCTCTGCTTCCTCACTTAGATACCATTTGCAAGACTCTTGTAACCACTGACCTTAAGGACTGTCTTTTGGAACAAACGAGTGGCTTTGAATCCTCTGCTTGATGGTCTGTACTGCAATCGAACATTTCCTGTTGCTGAAACCCAGCAAGCATCATGTGGTCAGTCCCTAGGGACCTGTGGGGGAGCAGAGCTTGGTGATTTTTGAAGAATGAAAAACAGAACACTATAAATATTCCTGACAGGGGATTCATTTGCTTTATCTTTATTAGATTGCCCAGAAGGCAATAATTGGTCTCTGGCAACTAGCACTGTGGAGACTGGTTGTAAAATTCCTCTGGCAACAGTTGTAGATGCCTCATTTGAATAGAGCAGAACAATCTTTAGAGGTCAGTCTGGCTTCAAAGGCTCGTCTGTAGTTTTAACAGCATGGATGGAGGAGGGACTGGGACAGTATTTGAAGTCTTTTTTTTTTTCTCCCTCCTTTCCTGCCAGGATGACAAGGATTTGGTGCATGAATTTGTGGTGGCTGAAGGTCTGACATGTTTGATCAAGGTGGGAGCTGAGGCGGACCAGAACTATCAGAACTACATTCTGAGGGGTAAGTTATGACATTCCTGCTGCAAGGGGGGCCTGGCATTTGTCTCCAGGAACTTCGATACTGAGAGCTTTTACTTAATTTTTATTTTTTTAACATTTTTTTATTATGTTCGATTAGCCAACATATAGTACGTCATTAGTTTTTGATGTAGTGTTCAATGATTCATTAGTTGCGTGTAATACCCAGTGCTCACCACCACACGTGCCCATCACCCAGTCACCCCATCTCCCCACCCCTTCCGTCTGTAACCCTCAGTTTGTTTCCCAGAGTCCAGAGTCCATACCAAAAGCTTTCAAAAAAGACTTGGATTATGGAGTAAGGTGATAAAGACACTCTGTGGCAAAAGATGACACTTACATCGGATTTTATCACTTCCTAGTAACTAATTAGTGACTGAGCTAACTTGACTGGTTTTTACCTCACCTCTCTTCCTGGTTATTAAGAAGAAAAAAACCTACTTCACATTAAGTTCTTGACAATCTCTTTCATTTGGTAAGGAAGAGACCACACTAAGTGGGCCTGCATTTCAGCAGGAAGTCACCCAAAACCAAAGAGGCCAATTCATTTCGTGGGGAAAAATTTTTTCTTCCAACTTGGGTTGTTACTGGGAGCGCTTGTCAGAAGCTCACATTCCTCACTGAGTCCTCGTGTTTCTGACTCGGTAGGTTTGGGGTGGGTCCAGAACTTGCACTTTAAAGAATAATTCTGAAAGCTATTGGTATAACTTCCCTCCCTCCCTTCCTTTCTTTTTTATAAAGTGAGGCACGTGTTGAGTTTGAAGCAGTGATCATTGTTCCAGTCATAAAGTTAATGCTCTTTGGTTATAGTAATTTTGTCTACCTTCATATAAATAATTTTATTTGATCCCGTAAAAATGTGACAAAGGAGAGCAGGAATTAGTAGGTTGGACTCTAAGAAATCACTGCTGTCGAGTTTTGACTTACAAAAAGAGAGTTTAAATGTAGTTCAATCTTCATTTTGCAACTGAAGGATTTGAGGCTCAAAGACATGGAGCAGTTGTCTAATACAGTCCTTTTCTCTAGGGCATGGTCAAGCGGGGGCTGTGCACAGACCCCCGCGGCACACGTCTCATCTGGGTTTTGTTGCCTCATCTCCATGTTTACCTGCAACCCCACACCTCCATCTTCCTCGTTCACAGAAGGGGAAAAAGAGTGCTTTTCCTTTTCCTTTGGGTGAAGGATGAGTATGTGAAACATGATTTACTATCAAACGTCTGTGGTTAGACTTGAATAAGACAGGCAGAGTGTGTTCCTGTCATGCTTTACCCTGAGAAGGAGCCTCCTGTTGTGTTGTTACCCAGCACAGCCAACCGAGGCCTTCCCTCTTGGACCCTGCCCCTGGGGAGCCACGGCAGCAAAGAGCAAGAGAGAAAACCTAGGGTTCATGGAGAAAAAAAATTTTAAGGACACATTTCGAGTCCATGCTAACCATTTCTGTTCTTGATAAATGCCAAATGTGTGCATGAGAGAGCATTCCTCAGCCTCCTGGTCCTGCTTCACCGTGTTTAGGAGGCTGGGGGGTGTCTCCTTTTGCCCACCTCCCATCTTTTCCTGGGCGTGTATAGATCCTCATTACAAGTTGTCAGTAGAGATGGCTTAAGGATAAATTTGATGAGTTCTATCACCACTGTAATTAAAACATGGAAGCTTCTACAGGGTGTGTAGACAGATGAACCATACACTTTGTCCTGCTATTGCCTCCCAGTGTGGCTGTCTTTGTGACTGAAGAGATTCTCATCCTTAGCTTTCCTTTCACATGAGTCCAACACCTAGAACGGGAAGGCACAGAGATAAGGGTGAGGGAAATTCCTCTAGTTTATTTTCTACCTGGCTTATGGATGTTTATAAGTCGAACCCACCTGGAAGGAGAGAAACCTAAAATTACCTAATTCTGAATAGTGGATCCACACGGTATGGTTTTGTTTTGTTTTTGTTGTTATGTTTAAAGTATATATACACACTTCTATACAGAACTTATAGAACTAATATTATAACCATCTACATGTTTATCTTTCTTCTTCTGACCCTTATCTAGGAGCGTATATATGTGTTTTTATAGTGTAACACCAGGGTAAGCCTCTACATTGATCTATAGCCAAGCTTGGGTTGAAGGGGGATGGCTCTGTTAGTTGGGATCAGCCCTTATCAGGAAGGTCACATTTTTTTTTAAGATTTATTTATGAAAGGGGGTGGAGCACAAGGGGAGGGGCAGAGGGAGGGAGAGAAAGAATCTCAAGCATATGCCCCGCTGAGTGTGGACCCCGATGCATGGCTCAATCCTAGGACCCCAAGATCGTGACCTGAACTGAAATTGAGAGCCAGCTGCTCAACCAACTGAGCCACCTAGGTGCCTCAGGAAGGCCACATTTTTGTCAGAAGCCCCTTGCAGACCTTTCTCATAGGTTGGAACCAGGACACCTGTAGCTGTAAGGGAGGCCTGTGGACAATTTGGCTTCCTGGACTCTAAGGGGAGGCATCAGAAGAGAAAGGCATGGCTCTTGGGCTGATGAATGCGGTTACCAGTGCCTGCCACATAGGTGGAGTTAGGAGGAAAGAACTCAGCCCTGCTAAGAAAGCTCTTTTCATTGAGCAGCCCTGTGGTGGCCCAGGAGGAGGGAGGGAGGGCCTCCCTGCCATGGAGGGAATCGTGCTGGGGCAGAATAAGCTCAGTGGCTGCACAAGGCCCCAAAAGGTGAGCTGTGCAAATTGTGCCTCCTGGTAGGGAAAGATGGTCCCAATGCAGAATACTTCAGTGAGGATCTCTACCTCAATGCTTCTCGTTAAATGGGCAATGGTTATTTTATTTTATTTTATTATTTTATTTTTTTGGCAGTGGTTTATTAATTGGCAGTTGGCAGTATCAGGAAGGTGCCAAAGCCCGTTACCAAATGTTTGCGACTCAGAATGCCCAAGCACAACCAGGGGAGAGTCCTTTCGACCATCTGCTGCTTCTCTGTGTGGAAAACACTGCTGACAAAAGACCCTTGCTGCAGACACCCCTTCCTTACACAGGAGGGGGCTCTGCGTTTTCATTGCCACTACCAGGGCCTTGCCTTCAGATCTTTACTTTCTATTCATGTTCGTTTACTGAAGGCCAGAGCCTCACTGCATTACCTGGAGAATGAGCAAATGCTCGCTCCCGTTTAGGTTACTCCGAAATGTTCTGTTTTCCATGGAGTGGAGGTGCCTTTGCATGCCTGCCCCACCTCTGCTAAATCTCAGTAGCCTTGGTGTGAGCAGGGCCCTGTGTGCAAACCCCAGCACATTGTGATGTATCTGACCAGAGCCCGTGCCAGGAAGGTACCTTCTGAGGGATGTAAATGACAGATTTCTCAGGGTGTGACTTTTGTGTTTTTATATAAGGAAACTATCATTTTTCCTGGCCCGCATGTTGAGTCACCCCTTCCTGACGTTGAAGAACTCCTCTTGTCGGCTTTTTTAGGTTGCAGTCAGCTGCCGGCAGCCACCAGACTTTTGCCATCAAGGACAGCCTTTGAATTGCCTCTTTGTTCAACCTCATTTCAACCATATTACCTTGGGTGAGGTATGGCGAGGCCAGATGCAGATCTGGAGAGAAACTGCAGAGAGTTTGATAGTTTTATAACTCACAGTTCCTTGGGGAGAACACAGTGTGCCCCACAGAGGCCACTCAGGAGAAGCATGGGGGTCAGTCATGAGGCAGAGGGAGAGGGCAAGCACCTTTGTTGTGGTTTCCATGGGGAGGAGGTGGTGGGGTGGGGTAAGTACACTTAGGATGGGCTGGCGTGAATAATTTCTGTGGGCTGTGGGGCGGTTAGGGGGGGAAGTATCATGGCATAGAGTGTAAAAGCCCGACATGGCAGGTGGCTGGGGGTGTGCACTTGAGCTTCTGGAGAAGAGCTGACCGACCTCTACCCCTTGCCTCAGAACTGTATCAAGAAGTGGGCATTTGAAAAACAGTATTACAACCCGTAAAGTGGGTTGGTTGTCAAACTGCTGTCGGGGAGAGTGTGCCCTTCATGAAGTTACCCTAGGAGCTCTGCTCTGTGGGACCATGTGTGAGACCCCCAGATCCAAAGGAAACAAGAGCATTTGGAGAACCCAGTGCTTTCCACATCTGCTTTTAGAACTTGATTAATTTATCTTTATTTTTGTGCTCGGCTGTCAGCCTTTTTTTTTTTAAGGCCCATGAATTTGTTGCTTTTGAGGATGTATCTGCTGAGAGGTAAAGATAGGTTTTGAGTTATGGTGTTAGCCAAGTGCTCTCCAAAAATGTAAGCCGGCTGCTGGGAAGAGGTCGTCTAAATGCACAACATGCAGAAATAATATTTATCTGACTTATTATTCTTGGATGGTTCTAGCTAATGATCTAAAGTTTTTCATGATAGCCAGTATTTAATATAAGTCTCCTGTGGAATTTTTTACCTCCCAATTTTTCTTATTAAAGTAGGACCTACAATGGTATACTCCTGGGAAATTTGTGCACACATACTGAGCCTTCACTGTGGGCCCCGTCAGGCCCTGGGGATGTGACCGTGAAACCAGCGGGCCCTGGTGAGGCTTCCTGGGGGGTGCTGTGCATGGGCCACTTCACATGTTGTGTCTCCTATGCCTTATATATTCAGAGAACATATATAGGTGATCTGCCTTGGGGCCGAGGGTGGGGAAAGAGAAAGAGATGAGTAGAGTCAGTGAGACCAGCTGCCTTTTCTGGCTGCACTTCAAGGGAAGCTGCTTCTTAAGGGCTAGTTTTACAGGGAGAAATTCAGTTTGATCATTTCACCTAAAGCAAAGTCCCCATTAATCATAAAACACCTCCATCACTATCACTAGCTGGATAAGGTCTTAGAACTACTGTAGCTAAGCCCTTTCATTTTAGGAGAAAACTGCAAATATTTTATTTGTCCCTATAACGCATCTTAAAAAATGGTTTAATGCCTGTCAACATTTAAAAATTGGAACATTTGACCTAAAAAAAAAAAAAAAAAAAATCCAGATTTC